TTTGCAAGCATTTTTTAGGTCGTCTAATGTTATACTATAAATTACAATATCTTTATTATGATGATGTTCAAAATCTAAGTAATCTGGTTCATATCGCTTTTCTTCATCATCATCTATAACCAATCCTTTTGGTATGTCTAACAATTGTTCTGAATGATAAACCCTATTAATCAATTCATTGCTAATTCCAGTTATAAACCCGATTGGGTYTACACTAAAATAATCAAAATCTTGAAATAACCAAGATAGAAGGTCTAAAGTAGTTTTAAAAACATTATGGTATTGTTTAGGCATTCCATTTTTCAATAATGATAACTCTAATATTCCTGCATTGTATGATACAACTTCACTACATTTCTTAAAATATTTTATATCCTCCATAGTAGTTTTGACTTGGTCCCCAATATTTTGAAGACCTCTATTGGTTGTAATGGATCTTCTGTACATACGAGATATATTTCTTAAACTGTATTCTTCTATTATTTTTGACTTTGATTGACCTCCAATTCTAATAACTTTATTGGTAAAACTCAATATTCCTTCCATAAATTGGTCTAAAGCATGATTTGTATAACAAACAACTAAAATTGGTTTGGTGAGAAATCGCCTCTCATATAAATTACTTATAATTGTTTTCATAATTTTCAAACCAATGAATGTTTTTCCTGTACCAGGTGGCCCTTGAATAACTGTAAATTCTTGAGTTAATGCTGCCCTAAATGCTCCGAATTGCATTTCATCTAGTCCTAGCTGTTCTTTAGTAGGCCAATTATTTTGACTCAGAACATGGAATTTGGATAAATCATCAATTTTATAGTAAGGGAGTTCAGGTAACATATCAATATAATATGGATAGTCTACCACAGAACAAGCTGATATTATATACTTTTCCATAGGGAAATTATGACAGTTAATATTTTTGAGAACTTCCATTGAACATTTATATGGTTCAAAAAATACTTCACTTTCTACCATGGTCAGAGGTGTATTAAATAGAGGTTTTGCATCATCTAATAGTTCCACAATTATTTTACTTTGTTTCAAAAGTTCAATTTTTCGCTCCAAAACAATACCCAAAAAAAAAGTTTTAAAATCATTTTCAGAAAATAGTAATAAAGAACCATACATAAATCGTTTTGCCATTTCCCAGTTGATTCTTAATCTATTTTTTTTGTCAAAGTTTACCAGGTAACCATATTTATCACGAACAAATTCACCTTTTTTTTCAAATWCAATGTCACGGTAAATGCGGATATTATTTATTTTTTTTCGACGTTGATGGCGTTCATCATTTATTGTGTCTTTATAAAATTGTATCCCTTCTCGTAGTGGAGCAATAAAATCTTCACGTAAAAGTCGAAATTGAACATCTAAATAGTGTTCTACATTCTGATAAGCTCCTTTGGAGATATTAGGTCTCAAAAATCGTTCTCCATATTCGAAATCAATTGCAGTTGGATATACAGTTAGTTCTCTAAAATCTTCAGGTGGATCCATCAGCTGGGCAATATTTTCAATAACTAATTTTTCTTTCAATTTCAACTCTTCTGTTAAAACAATATCATTGAGTTTTTCTAGCAATTCATTCATTTTAACTATTGTAGTATCATTAATCTTAATATGATTACAATAACTTTTAATACCATTTAAGGCAATATTACTACTAACTATTATTTCCTTTAATTTTTCTTCTGCTGTTTTTGGAAATAATGTAKTTATAGACTGAAACACAACTAAACAATCTTCATAAAATATATTCATATTGTTGCATCTATTTAAGTTTTTTTCTGTTGGTGTACTTAATATATATGTCTTTAGGTGATCAAAAAATTGATTACATATAAGTTCTGTAAGTAAGAAATGTTTACTTTGTATTAATTCAGTTGAACAAATCTTAGCTGATACTTTCATAAGCAAAAAAATCCAATCTGGTTCTTTATTTTGTTTGAATAATTCCATAAATCCATTAACTTTATTTGACATCACAAATACAATTTCAGATGGATCCTTACTACATAATTCTTCAAGGCGTTTAAATCCAAAACTATACTTATTTATATTTTTATTTTTGTTTGTATCATTATCAGAATATTCATTTTGCTCATAGTTTTTTCCTTCCCTTCTATTTTGTCTGTGTTCAGTGGTTTTTTTCAAATTCAATTGTTCTTGTCTATTTTCTGAATTCTGTTTTGATTTCCATTGCTCTTGTCTACTTCCAAAATTTTGATTTTTTCCCCATCGTTCTTGTCTATTTGTTGATTTTTGTTGTTTTCTCCATTGTTCCTTTGTATTAGAACTACTGGACTGTGACCGTTCATTCTGTTTGGCCAACTTAAAATCAAATTGGTCATTTTCTGCATTTGCTGATGGATTTGTTCTGAATTTTCTATGCTGGTTATTTTGACCTTGGTCATCCTGGTTTATATTTCTATTATTGTGCATTATGACTTCAATCTTTGGCTGATCATGTGGTCAAATTTGTATCCTGTCATGGTATAAATACAGAAATGTTAAAATAAAGTATTAACTATTAAGCCATCCATATGTATATAATACTATAAATGTTTTTAGAAAAATTACATTGTTTTCTAAATATTTTTTTACAGTTTTAATTGTCATTTCTTAATTTTTTCATTATTAAATTAATGCTTTTGTTATATAAAATTCATAGCTCAGTTTTTAATATAATCATATTGACATTTTTAGATACATAAGGAGATGTTTTCCAGGTTCAATAAATACTGATAGATATTTATAGTATCACAAATTATGTATATTTTATGCTTTATCTGTCAATTGTTATATTTATTATTAAAACAAATATTGCAATATTGCATCATTATTCAGTTTAATCTCATAATATATTGATTCAAGTATCTAATAACAGTTATTTAAATTAATTATACTGATTACCAACTTACATTTTAAATTAGATTTGTAACTTATTAAATTGTGAGTAACTAGTATCAGAAAAAAAACGGTACCATTAATTTTCCAAATCTAATGTTGCGCCAATATAAGAGTGAACTGACCTCTTATAAAATTTAAAGGTAAGATTATTATCTAGACAACCTCATATGCTTTTTATTTTATATCAAATTTAAAGCAAGTTATGAGTATTTTAAAATTGTGAATTTTCTGTGCATCTTAAAATACTCATAACTTCCTTTAAAATTTAAATATATTAAAAAGCATATGAGGTTGACTAGATAACAATCATACCTTTAAATTTTATAAGAGGTCAATTCACTATAATTTTTAAGCAAACGGAGCTACACGTGTTCTGCTGAACATACAATTTACTATATAAAGCACTTGTAAGACAGAGACAACACATGCGGGTATCACGTCCTCTTAAGGGAAAGTGGGCGGATTAGTCTCTCATTTTTTCGTAGATTTCAGCGTTCCCTTTCATAATTGAGCGAGGAACACCAGAAATGTGTCCGTAAGGTCGTAAGGATGTCTACTTATGATTTTTGAACGGATTTTGTTTTCATTTATTTTTGGCAAAATAATCGTTATTTTTTCCTGAAAACGGTTATCGACAACTACTAAATTATTGAGACGGTTCCAATAATATTATAGCTAACATACGTTGTTATTGACTGGTTAAACATATTTTATTTTATGATTTAATTATATTATGATATGAATTAATGCTATTTAAATGGAAAATAGTTTACTGCCGTTGGTGAACAATGATGATACAGAATATACATAGGCATAACTAGACCTCTAAAACGTGGGGTGCTATAACGTGGGGTGCTATTATATAGCCATATAGGTACTATTAAAAACATAAAATTGATGTTATTTCATTATAATTATAATAGTTAGATCTAAAATATCAATGGGTGTTAAATTAGAACTTGGGGGTGCTAAAGACCCTTTTGCACCCCCCTAGTTGCGCCAATGGGAATATAGGTATAATAGGTAGGTACTAAATAGTAAATACAGTAGGTATAATTATGGTATTATTTTGTTTTCATGATTTTATAATTGGATATAATCGCAAAACCAATTTCAACACAATTTATAACATGTCATTGATAAGGATTTAAAATCTAAATTAATTAATTTTTTAGTTTTAAGCATCGATCTCAATCTCACAATTTTCATTTTATTTTTATTAAAATTGTTTTATACTTAATGTGTCCAGTGAGGCTGTGATCAAGTGATTGGCTAGCGTCACRTCTTATGACTTAAAGGCTTAAGTTATGGAAAAAATTCTTTAAAGGGACAGGTATAATTTTTTTTAAATATTTTTTTAGTTATGGGCATCGGGCAATTCAAATAATTCAACAAGTGTCAAGTGTGATGTTTTTGATAAATGTCACATGACTTTCATGATTGAAATTATTGTCAGAAGACAATAATTATTGTTGAACAATGAGTTTATAAATGAGCATTTCTAACTCACAGCTAGGGGTAAAATTGACAAAAACAAAATGTTCAATGAATATTTATTGAATCTAGATTTTAGGTATTATTCTGTAATGTTAGTTAGGTATTAAGAAGTTATTAAGAATATTGTTCTAATTTGAAAAAAAGGACTTAGGATTGTCCAGAAGTCTAGACCTGGCGTTTTATAGAAAAATTATAAACACACCATAACATGATGGACAACGAATAAGTACCTATATTAATATTGAACAATATCAAGACTTAATCTGATATCGATATTGTGAACTTCTACAGACGGTTTTGGAGATTTAAAACGAAGAGATAGGTACCTATTGCGAGTAATAATATACTATTAAGTACCATGGGTGCCTATTTGGAATACAATTATATAATATATACTTACAGAATAATAATAGGCTATTTACATACCTACTTGATCGAAGATTGTTGGTGTCTATAGGTAGGTGTGCAATTACGTGAATCACTAATATTATATAAAAATGCAACGCTGGGCGACTGATGAGAAAATAATGTCATTAATATAACCGTTGGAATCATCGACCGATCGTCATAGCTGTAGACGCTATACTGTTATAATACACTTTATACACTATGGCACTATGCCTACACTGTGACACTATGTATATTGTATATAGACTATATTATAGCACAGAAAAATATTAATTATTGCTGACTGGCCACTGGCAACTGCTGTAGCTGCAGTGCTGCTGATATTATTGTTCCGTAATACAGCCAACACCAGCGACAATGGAATCGGACTGAGGAAGTGAGGACGTTTTGTCTTTCGTGGTTTCGTCTGTCATAATCCCCTCCAGTGACGAAATTCCAGCGCTCAGCGTTTTACCACCATTCCATTGGACTCCGATGTTCCTCAGAACAGTCAGAACTCAGAATTCAGATTACAGTATTACGTGTATTGTGGCTATTGTGCCATTGATTATATTATATTAATATTATATTATTATACAATCGATGTCTGTACCTATACTACATAATAATTTAATTTAGCATAGAATGCCGTTTGCGGACAKTCGGTCTTCGTCATAATTTTATACACGGACAATGTTGGTTTCGGACCAATTTTTTTTCTCGACACAATAGAAATTCTTTTCCAGCAGCATCACAATAATTCATTAATTTTAAGTTAGTTATATAACTTTAAGTACCTATCACAGATAAAGACAGTATATAGCGGTTGCAAATTTGCAATTTAATCACATTTTTGGATAGGGTAAAACCATTAAACTATATAAGATATACGAATTTTGAAGGGTTAACATTGTTAACGACTACTACTATATAGCCGATGCCCGACACTAATTATTAACTATTTTTATCATTATAAAGTCTTGAGAAAAATTTTTTTAAATTATTTGTAAGGTTAAACCATTTATAGATACCTATTATCARATTATATTTAATAAAAATAAATTAATAACATTTTCTATGCTGATTAATATATAAAAAAGCGGGCAATTCGTGGATGTCGCTCTGCTGTACAGTAGGTTACTGTATAATGGATGGGATTAAATTTGAATGCAATGATAGGTATCATTGTATACGAAAAACGATTCTGAACGGAGATGATTTGTCAGTCTAGGAYATATTATATTTAAATATTGTCATACATATACCTATTCTACTTTGAAACAAATATTTTATTTTTCAATTAAGGCGCATTTTGCATACGGCATGGTTAAAAAATTAGTGTAGTTATCATAATTCATAATATCTTATATTATTATCATAGATATACATATACCTGGTTTGAGGATAAATCGTTATCATTACGCGATTTCATAAAAATTTAAAACAAACGCTCAAAACATTTTTACTATAATGACGCCTCAAATTTTCTCTATAAMTATTTGAAGCAAAACTTATGGAAAACTTGGTGTTAAATTTTATAACCTTAGATATAAATACAAACAATATTATGAATTTTGAACTACAAAATAATCCGCAAATATTCATGGTTTTAACGAATTTTTGTCAATATTTGAA